TTTTTAGTCTGAAGTCTTTTGGATCTGAGACTTTTTGCATCATTCAGTGGTAAAAGCTTTGCTCAAACCCCTGTTGTACACATTCAAATATACCTGATAACAGCCAGTAAAAGACTACACCAAAATATATTTTTGACTTATTGCACGCTAATTTGATCAAAATCATTTCTGTTTTTTTTTCTTCATATGTTGTTGAGGGGCCAAAGAAAGACTTCAGACTAAAAAGATCCAATATTCTTCCTATTTTTCTTGCATCAGGCTTTAAAGGGTTAAGGAGATGAAAAGGGGAATAAGGGGGTCTGTAAACTGTCCGTAAGGGGTGTGGAGGTGGGGAGGAGGTGGGGGGTTACCCTTGATGTTTTTCAGTATTCTTCCACTCTGAATTGGATCTAGAGGGGAATGAAACCGTGTGCAGAAGCAGAGAGGAGTTCCAGAGTTGCGAAACCTGTCTGTGCACACCGTAAAAGGGGCCGAACGGGCCGATTGCACCACGCAGGCTCCCACGAAACGGCCTGTCAGAGACGCTCGTTGAGCCACAGGAAAATGTAGAAGTAGCGAGAATCTGTTTCCTGTTTTCTGCGGGACGGCCCGGGCCTTACATCCAGCTTGTAAGAGCCTCTTCCAGGCTCTTACAAGCTCCGTCGCTGGAAAATTATTTCCTCTCCGACAGTTTACGATAACAACGGCTACTTTAGCCCGTCTGTGCTCTAAACAGCCTTCAGATCCAGGCTGGTGGGTAAAAGCACCATTAAGACCCATTTCCGATCATTAATAATGGATCAAAATCTGCCGATTAAGACTCCCATCAGTGCCGACTGGGTTCGGATCCCCGACCACAACACTCCCACCCCCGTGTCTGACACTTATTATTCCCCTCCAGGCCTTCACACACACTGACAACTACTGGGCCTAAACTGTGCTGTGTGTGGACACCCAACGACCCAATAAAGTGTCAGAGAGAGCAGCTTAAACAGGCCGGCTTGTTCCCGAAACAGCTCCAAAAAAAAAGAAAAAAAAAAAAGCTCCTGTTACTTTTAAAGGGTCCAGCTGAAGTGCTCCAGTAAAACAGTTAGGACACAGCTAATGAGGACACAAAGGCTGCAGAAATGTGCATCAGATGGGCGGATTTTACACAGATTCTGATGCTAACTGCCGTTAGCATGAATAGGTCCCACTTTGGGGGCATTTTTGGGAAAACATGCTGGAATTTCAAGATTTTAAAGACAGGAAAGGGGGCAAAAAAAGGTAAAAAATGCATAAAAAATCCCCAAATGTTTAACTGTGAAAGACTTTAACCTCCTGTAAGCAAAGCTTTGGTCTGGTTAGCATCTGTGCTTTCCATAAGATCAGTGGGGTTTACTTGAGGAGTTTAATCATAGTCCAGGTATTTTATATCATATATCATATGGGGAAAGTAGGTTTAACGGTATTTAAAATGTGTATGTAACTCACAACAGGTTAAAAGCTTTCTTTGCCATTTGGTTCTGAAGGTCCTGATTACACTATAATTACACATTAAGGACATGATCGGTGGAAAATTTAAGAAACCATTTTACTTTACATTTCAGATTAGCATCTGCTGGGGTCTATATGAGGCCAATAGGTCAGAGTTGATCAAATAATGAGGTATCATAGGGTCCAAGGAGGCTAAAGAAGCCTGGGGGGGGGCACATCCCATCAAAGCCATTAGCCATTAGCATGCTAACAGCCGCATTTCGGGTGGGAAACTTAAGAAACCATTTAATTTTACATTTCAGGTTAGCGTCTGCTGGGGTCTAAATGAGTCCAATAGGTCAGAGTTGATCAAATAATGAGGTATCATAGGGTCCGAGGAGGCAAAGGAAGCCTGGGGGGGGGCAAATCCCTTCAAAGCTATTAGCCATTAGCAGGCTAACAGCCGCATTTCGGGCGGGAAACTTCCCTCTTGCGGGAGGAAAAAGGCTCAGACTTGCTGAGTCAGACTCAAGCCCCGGGTTTGTCTGGGCTTTTCTTTTCTTTCCTAACTCGCAGCTTTGATTGTTAAACCGGATTAATGAACTCCTGCCTTCGGGGGTGGGCGGGGACAGGTTGACAGGTGCGTGTTCCTGTTTGATTAACAGGGAATTCCAGCTCTTCTCGAGACATTATCACCACCACTTTTTTTACCGATATATATATATATTTTTTTTTATGTATATGTCTAGCTATATTATATGAGGAATTTTGTATATATATGTATATATGTACAGAACATGTATATATGTATATGCCTTTGTTTTACTTATGGAGCCTGTAACAAAAATAATTTCCCTCTGGGATTATTAAAGTATTTCTGATTCTGATCTGATTCTGATCTGATTCTGGTCTGATTCTGATTTGAATATGATTCTGATTCTGATCTGATTCTGATTTTGATCTGATTCTGATCTGATTCTGATTTTGATCTGATTCTGATTCTGATCTGATTCTGATTCTGATCAGCTCCGTAAGTAGACATAAAAACTCTCCTGGCATCCGGGTTGCAAAACTAGACACAGGAAATTACCAGAAGTCCCCCCCCCCCACCATCCCCTGTGGTGAAACCCCTCTTTCTCAACGGAGGGTGGAGGGTTGGGGTTAGGGTTAGGGTTAGGGCTGGGGTTAGGGTTAGGGTTGGGGTTGGGGTTGGGGTTAGGGTTAGGGCTGGGGTTAGGGCCCACCTGGTTGTGCTGGTGCTGGTAGGGGATCTGGAGCGAGCCCATGGCCTGCACCATGGCCTGGGGTTAGGGCTGGGGTTAGGGTTAGGGCTAGAGTTAGGGTTAGGGTTGGGGTTAGGGTTAGGGTTGGGGTTAGGGTTAGGGTTGACCTAACCTGGTTGTGC